TTTGTAGCAAATAGTCCTAATTCTGTGATGCGTCTTGTTGTACTGTATTTTGTTCATATGCCTGTACTGTATGCTGCAGTTTTTGTGTTATAAACAGGTTTTGGACCATATATTTTTGCATTTTATTGCTTGTGTTGTTACACCTGTATTTTTTTTCACATACTTGCATGTTCACAAAGGACATGTAACATAGTAGGAAGGAAATTCTGTGTTAGGGAAAGATTGGACATCACAAATATGATTCCTATGAGAGAATACTTATTGTATTAGTCAACCTGTGAAATTTCTAGAAGCATCGCCACAATATTTTGGATTTTATGAACAGTAAAGCTAGTTTTGTCATTAATCTGTACTGAGCGCCTATGAAGAAGAAAATGTCCTGCTCATCAAATCCAAAATATTCGGGCAATTGTTCTATTTGCAGCGGTTGAAGTTGACATAGGTGGAGATACTCACATAATGTTTGATTTGTAGCATTTTTATGATCTTGAGCGATGTGAGACTTATACCATACAGAGGGAAGGAGGAGGTTTGGCTGTGTCCTTTGTCTGCTTTAAGCGAAATAAGACTGTGTCAAACGTCTTTCAACAAAATACGACCAACCTTCTTACAGTGTAGGTTTTTACACTTCAGAGCTTTTGCGATTGCTCATTGCCTCCCTTCTGAAAAGTTTGGAAAATAGTGAAACGTGACTGTGCCTTGTCGTGGGCCTCTTTTTTTTTTTTTTTAATCATCCTCCTTTACTGCTACATTAGCAGGAAGTGGGATTGAAATGTTTTCTCTTCGAAGGTGCAACAACTCTTGTTCCCACATTGTTAAAGTCTGTAACTGTCATGGAAAGTGGGCTCACACTAACAGTTTCCATATAAAGCTAACGCTGGTTTTGCTGAATCGCCTCATAGGGGCGTAGGAGTGAGGTGGATAGGAGTTATATTGTTGATTGGCATCCAGTGAGTTATTTTGTCAGTAGCACCTTGGCTTTACTATCAACACATGCAGATGACACATCGGCTAGGTTCAATCATGCCAATTCAAACAGGGCATAGTGGTGCCATCTCTGACCACCCTGGCTTGAAGAAAAACAGGTCATTTTTACCTAATGGCAAACAGTAAGCTATGATTGAATGATACAAAAATGAGGAATAGAAATGATGATTGTATGTTATTGAATGGAAAAAGTTAAGAAATGTTTCCCGTATTCTCATTTAAGCCAAGTACTTACACTGCAATTGTATATCACTGAAAGACGGTGTCTTGCTCTGTGATAGCATGCTCATTGTTAGGCTTAGTGAGAGATGAGCACAGGACCCACAGGCAGACACAATGAACTCAGAATGGTTTTATTGTCAGGAAGCGGGACAGGTCGGGGTGTCAGGCAGGAACTGAGAAGGAGTCAGAATGACCAAGTTAAGAAGTACAGAAATGCTGGCGCGTAACAGCTTGGCAGAAGCGAGATCACTGACGAACTGGCAATGGGTGGCTGTTCAGGCTGGCTTTGATGCTGCAAGTGGCTGACGAGATGAAGACTGGCAGGTGTGTAGGGGAGGCAGGTGCACTGATTAGGGAGAACGCCCAGCCCACACTGAAAAAGGTAACAAAACAAATGGGAGGGGCTACTCCGTGGACGACAGAGAACAAACAATGGATTCTAACACTCATGAACCCGGTAGTAATACGGTAGTTGAGGAGGACAGGGTGGACTAAACCATTTTTGAGGAGGGAGTGTATTTCAGTTGTTAAAAAATTACGTTTCAACCAAGTACTGTATTGTTATACATTGTTGTTGCTGTTGTTTTTTTTTAAGACATCCGTACATCCATTTTCTGACCCGCCTTAACCTCACAAGGGTTGCAGGGGGTGCTGGAGCCTATCCCAGCTGTCTTCGGGCAGTAGGTGGGGGACACTCTGAATTGGTTGCCAGCAAATAATCCTAACCATCATAATAATCATTTTTATTGGCCAAGTATGTAGAAACACAAAAGGAATTTGTCTTCGGTAGTACAGGTTACACTAATATTATTAATATCAAGCAACTATGATAAACAAGGACATTACATATAAGTATCGAAAGACTTTGCGTAAAGTAAGGTTACCATTATGCAGTAGTACCACCCAATGACAATGTGCAAAGTCGCAGGGAGCATATTGACAAACACAGGGAGAATATGCAAAGACCACACAGGAAGGTCAGTTTCGAACCCTGGACCTCAGTACTGTGAGGCAGACATGCAAACCAGTCGAGCACGGTGCCCCCCACAGTAGGAAAAAAATCTCTCAAATCTTAGGGATGCTGGGAAATAGGTAAAAACCAGCTCTGCTATCAATTCATGGCCGAGATACCAGTTTCAGAATCACTCATGCCAAGTGAAAGTGTAGAACAAAAATAGCAACTCCTGAAGAGCTGATGCCTGACACACAATTAAAGTCAAAGCATATCCTAAGTAGTGTGTGGAAATGCAATACATTTTTTGATAAGATCAGAGGAAGGAGTTTCTTTTCTTTGGAACTAACGAGGTGCCCTTAAGCAAAGCCTCAAATTGAAATGCTTCACCATCACCATCGTTCTCAACCGCCTGACTCGCCATCTTGGCATCACTGGTTCAGCTCTCTCTCTCAGAGTTTCATTCGTATCTTTCAATCAGTTAACCAGGCGTGTCTCAAGGCTCCGTTCTTGGACCTCTCCTTTTCTCACCATCTAAATGCTTCCCCTGAGATAATTTTTACACAAAAATGGTCGCAGCTTTCAGTCCTATGCAGATGACACTCACCTCTACCTCAGCAGAAAAAAAAAACATCCGCTCCCACCTCCCCACTCCCGGATAAACTGCCTCCATGACCCCAAAGCCTGGATGAACTTTAACAATTTCAAATTGAACAGCAATAAAACAGAGCTCAACGTTGTGGCCTCCAAATCACTGCTGGGTAAGCTTGCAGATTCATATAGAGCATTTCATGCTCTATATGGTACGTCCATTTACCCATCCTTCGAGAGCCATAAACGTCATCCTGGACTCAACCGTCTCTTTTCCCTTGCACATAAAAGTTGTCACCAAATCTGCCTTCGATCATCCTCGGAAGACCTCCAGGCACCGGCCATCACACATTGATTCTGTGGCTCAAACACTCATTCACCCCTTCAGAACCTCCCACCTGGACTACTGCAACAGGGTCCTGTCTGGAGTACCCGGCCAAACTCTGGACAGGCTCCAATTCATACAAAACTCAGCAGCCAGAGTCCTCACCCACACTAGACCCTGGCAGTACAGCGACTCGCATCAATCTCCAATGGCTCCCCATCAAGTTCCGCATCAGTTACAAAATCCTCCTCCTCTCATACAAATCTCTCTATGCCCTGGCTCCTCAGTACCTCTCTGATCTCCTCCACCCACACACACACACACACACACACACACACACACACACACACACACACATATACACACGCACACACACACACTTTGTCCATGTTTGTGTGTTCTTGTAAAGCGTAATTTGGGTTTCTTGAAAGGCGCGATACAAATTCAAGATATTGTTATTATTCTGTTGGCCTCTTTGACCTTAGGCTACACTGCAGCCGCTACAATATATGTGTTATTTCTGGCATTTGCTGCGAAAAAGTCTTTCTGAATGTTTCACTCTTTTGAACTTTATCCTTTAAATTATCTAAGTAAGTAAAACTGGAAAAAAGTATGTCCATTAGAATCTTGAAAAGTGAATGCAAGTCGTACAATATCTAGTTCAAATTTAGTGAGCAATTTATAAGTTGCATTTTCGTCTACAAAAGTCTCTCCCAATGGTGGGTGAAAGGCGCCACAGTCTCCTTTTTTTTCTTCCCCAACCCATCGCCCTTATTGACAGTGGTGATTCTGGGATTTATTATTACTATTAATTAGTGTGTCATGCACAGATGTAGACGCAATATCTTGAGATGTGTTATTATACATAAGAGCTGGTTTATATGTATTTATCTAGCAGCTAGCTAGATAGATCGATCGATAGATAGTTAGCTTGATAGTCTAGCTAGCTATCTAAAGATATAGACTATATCTATATGTAGATATATAAATCAAGGTTCATGCAACAATGCTACTTTCAAAAGCTAACACTCATATTCATTCCTAATAGCTATGTATTTGGCCACATTGAATAATGAATAGTCTCTTGTTAATCCACCCCTTAAAATTACAAAATGATACCTCATAAAGTGCATAGAAGGACTTTATATTTTCTTGTGTGTTAGAGAGTTATTGGGCTTCAAAAACTAAGTGAAGCTTTGACTTCCGGGCATTTTTAGTCCAGTAACTTGAGTTCAGTTGGAATTTGTTTCTTGCTTTGGATCTGTCACATAGTTGTGTTGGTGCTTTAACTGACTTAAAGGCAGACTTGGTCTTTACTCTTTTTTGTCGTAGAATATGTAATCTCACCGTATATGTTGGCATCTGCAGTGATTTGTTGAGCAGCTTTTGTATGTTCAATGAAACAACCACTTTTGAAGTTATTTCAAAGTCAATCCCTTTCTCCTTCACGGGTCACTGAAAGGGTTTTAACATGCAGATTTAAGTTACGAAAGCATCACAAAGACACTTTTCATGCTTGTGATACTACTCTGTACTTCTATGTATCAGTGGCATTCAAATGTATTGTGTGATAATGATGTTTGCATCATGATCTTGTGTTTACACATATAGTTTATGGATTTCAGGCAAACTCAGACTCAAACATTTACAGGAAACATTTTATTCAAAAATGATTATTTGTTGGGAAAATAAGATCCAGTGATATATAGAAAAAAAAATCAATAATCAGGTTAAAGTGCAAAAATACATTTCTTATATACTGTAATGCATCCGTACAAAAATAACATTGGAATGTTACAATAAAATGGAGGAAAAGTGATAAAATGGCTTTTATCCTCCTTACTTGTAGAATCATTTGTGGGACCTTGTCTTTGGAATACAGTTTTCTGCAGTGCCCTACTTGGAATGAGCAGCCACAGTTTGTTTTATTTTGTTTGTTTTTAATTGTTATTGCTATTTCACATTCCACATATCCACTGGGGTCTCTGTCAACTAGTCATGCACTTCTTCACAAAGGCTTATTTCTGTATCTTGTAAAAAAAATGCTGGTGAAAATGTTAATCCTTGAGCAGCATTCCCACATAAGTGGAAGAAATTGGAGGTTTTCCTACCAATAACTGAGATTTTTTTTTTTTTTTTGAAGTCTTTGGTTGATTATCGTATTTGGTCATACTGAACTGTATATATCCAGTGTCCCCGTCCCTTCCCTTGAAGAAAACAGATTCATTTCATCTTGGCTGGCTTCAGTTCCTTGACTTGCATGTGTAATGTTTTGTGCACAGCCAGTGTCCTGGACTGACAGAAGCCTTTCCCACACTCTTGACACTTGAAGGGCTTTTCTTTGGAATGAATGTACCTGCAGAATAGAACACAACATTGCAGTGTTAGCAATAAGTAAGAAGTCAGAACAGCGTTATTAGTCATGTCAGTCGAAACCTTGATCAACCTTATTGTTGTTATTCATTTTTCCGGTACCAAAACTAGCAACGCCTTCGTCTTATTCACTTCAGGGGCACATCTTTGTGTGTGTGTGTGTGTGTGTGTGTGCGCACGTTTTTTTTTTTTTTTTATTATTAATCAAGTGGGCCCAAATGAATTCCAGAAAAGAAAAAAAAAAACCTCTAAATACACATATATACTGGTAGTTACATGCTTTGTAGACGTCTTATCATGTCTGCTGTTGTGAGCCCACGCATCCCAGGAATTTTTGAAGTCCGCACAAACCTGAGACAGTCTTCATCGTTTTGAGTGCATTCCTCATCCAGTTTCATGCATGTCTGCAGTTATTACACACTATTTTGTATTTTTCATCGGTTTTCTTTTGTTTTCGAGAGTTTCTTTTTCAATTTTAGAAATGCATGTGGCAACTTGAAAAAGGGGTCAAATTCATTTTGGGATCAAATTTGGGATTTAACAGAACAAAAAACTGTGGTTGTATCCCATTTATCTACATATAAAAGACCTCCCCACGCCCTCCAGGCCACCCTGACAGCAATGGGCAGCTCCTTCAACCAGAGACTGTTACACGCGCGCTACAAGAAGAAGAGGTACTGCCGCTCGTTCCTGCCGACTGCTGTCAGGCTATTGAATAGACGCACCTGACCTGAAAACCTGGACTCACCCCCACTCACCCATTCTGAATATGGTTATATTTATATTTTATAATTTATATTTACTTATATACTTTTTGTTCTTCGACTTCTCCCATAATTTTTTGCTGCTGTAAATTGGGAATTTGTTCATTGTGAGACAAATAAAGGTGTTCTTATCTATATTCGTATCTGTTAAAAATTCGGGAATAGCATGAAAAACAGTTTGACAAACACCACTCAGGAATAAAGTAGTGTTTGTAGTACGAGATGTAACACTGATCGGTGTTAAAATGGGGTGTCAGTTTGGTTCGATTCTGATTGGTGTCTCTTTGAAATTGGAACCATACCCTTATGTGATTGAAGGTGACGAGTGAGAGTCGAGGACATTTTTCTTCAGCATCATTTCCTCCTGGCTTGCAAAATGGAATCAAACTTCCCGAAGGAAAGGCGAACTGTCATATTATGTTATTTGATCAAAAAAGAATGCTCGTAACTTGATTTCCACTTCAGTTTTCTACTTCATGTTGTTTAAAACAGATTGGCCAATACTTGTATTTCGTGTGACACCACATGGTCACATGGGCGACACAGCCAATCAGGTTAATTAACACTTCACATGTTTTGATTGAAGCAAGTATAGGGAGCTAGAGTGATGAGCTGCACGTGGCTATTTTGGGGCTGAGAAGTGCAAGTGAATCCATTCACTCTAATGAGCGCCATTTGTTACCCGCTTGACAAACAATATGGCTATTCTCCAAAATCCATCCATCCATCCATTCTCTAATCCGTTTATCCTCACGAGGGTCGTGGGCATGCTGGAGCCGAACCCAGCTGTTTTCGGGCATTCAGCGGGGACACCCTGAAATGGTTACCAGCCAATTGCAGTGTTCTCCAAAACATAACATGTAAATGAGATGATATGAAAAGCCAAGAGTCCTTGAAGGAATTTGATTGCATTGAAATGTTGGTGTGAAGTGTTAATGTCCGCATTATTTATGTCTGTGGAATTGTCACACTCTTCCTCCATCTGGAAGACAAGGTCTCACTAATGTGCGTGAGTATTGGGTTGCAAAAACGGTAAATGGAGAGCATTTATAGATATATAACGCTTTAACTACCCCACATGGTGCCCAAAGCACTTTACAAAGGCTCACATTTACCCATTCACATGCACATTTGTACACCAATGGGAGGCTGCTCCCAGTGGAAGCAAATCAGGGTTCAGTATCTTGCTCAAGGACACTTTGACATGGGCACAAGGGTTGAAGATTGGACCCACAACCGGTCATGTTCATTGTTTTGCGTCATATTCTTCTGTCTGTTTTGCTGCCATGTAATTTTGAAGGTGGTCCAAAGACTCTGCAAGACCAGTCAACATTTGAACAGCCATCAGCTGATTAAAGCTTCTACATGATCAAACGTTTGGCAAACCAGCCAGTGGTCAAAGTGTCAAAATGAAGGCAACGTTCTCGCACAGAGCAATGCTACACTATCCAGACCAGGTTTTAGGGTTTTGTCAAATACAAACTATGTAATGTCTTGTGATGCCACTACCGCCTGGGAGAATAACTATGGAACTGAAAGCTAGAATGGAATGTTTGTATCTCCTGAAAATATATTCCTTGCTTTCATAAAAAAATAAAATAAAATAAAATTATACCTTGATGAATATAATGCATTTCTTATGACCCCAAATATTAATAGTATGGGTTTGAATGATTACTTGAGTGTATTTGGACTTGAGGGGGATTAAATGAGGTGTCTGAAATTGATTTCATAAAAGAAATTTGTTTTGAATTTAATATTTTCCCCCCCACACATACACACGCTGTAGAGAATTCAATCATTAGTGTTCATCTTAACACTCAATAGCGTGAATATTACGGCACTGTCAACACTACATTTTGTTGCTGTAACGCACAATTGGGTTTGGAACATCTAACACTTTAACACCGGGTATTGTGGATGCATATACTGTAGACCAGTGGTTCTTAACCTGGGTTCGATCGAACCCGAGGGGTTCGGTGAATCGGTCTCAGGGGTTCGACGGAGCCTCTGCCATGGAGGGTAAGACACACCCGACTCAACATGTGAATTATTTATGACACGCCCGCTTGGCCATCACTGGCTGTAGATGAACACATTATTACATTGCTTGTCCAATCAGTGCTGGGGAAAATTTAGTTCGCTCAGGAGTCACCATGTGACTGTTGTGATAGTACGTCATACAATAAAAAAAAATAAATAAAAGTATACTTATCTCTTGAAATGTTATTTACTTTTTTCTGTTTTTAATAAATGCATTATTTAGTATCTTGAATTTGTAAAAAAAAAGTATATATATATATATATATATATATTAACTGGTTGGGTTCGGTACCTCTAAGAAGGTTAAGAACCACTGCTGTAGAAACTTAGATGAGCTCGGGCCCAGAGAAGCCGGTGGCATTTCTGGGTGTTGTTTATCAATTGCTTTCGCTTTGTGGAGTTTTAAGTTGCACCGAACTATATTTAGAATTGACAGTGGTTTTCTCAAAGGTTTCTGAGCCCATCTGGTGATATGCTTTACAGTAGTGATGTCTCATTCTTTCATTTCCACCTCAGTTTAATTGACATGCGGGACACCACACCATTCCCACTTCCCTTACAGTTTCAGTACAGCAGGGTATCCACTCAGTTGTTCTACTATATATTGAAGCATAAATTAACACACATACACTCACATTTACGACTGACACTGACTGTTGATCGATTCATTCAGTAGTTCGAACATAGGCGTAGTTTACTTTGAATGAGGTTCTTTTTCCTGTTTAAATGACACACGACTAGAATGTTTGTATTTTATTAAATGTCATTTTTCCTTTAATTATGAGTGGACAATGTGGGACCATATTTGTACAGATTGAATTGAGATTTAATTATGCTTAACATGACTTGTGTGTTAAATTGAAAGTAAAACTAGGGCTAATTCGAATGTGTTTTATCCTGTCACAAGTCACTATTCACTATGTTCTATTTTGATATAAAGGTGTCTTGATTTTTTTTTTCCTTTTCTTTTTGTAGCACACCTACACTGACATCACATAACTTGTTATGATCTCAGGTTTTGGACAGGTGTGATAATGGTTTGGCCGCCGTGTGCATATCCAATGTTGCTCACCGTAGTCCAAGGAATGTTCAGTGACTTTGTGTGAATGCTCAGACCCGAGGAAAATTAGAGGGAACATTGCTACTAGCTCTTCACGCTCCTCTCTGGTAACAAGCAATCTCAATGAGTTTGACAGCATGTATTTTTGTAAATGTTATACAAATGAATAAATCCATCAGTGACTTCCAATCCCAATGAGTAACTTTTGAAGCTGACTGCGCAAAAGCCTACACATATCCAGCCAGTGACCTGTCTCGTTTCGCAGTTGGCCAATCCAAACCTTGCGCGGGGCGACCAATGTAGATCCACTGTGCTACAATGTGACCAATTATCCACTAAACTCCAAGGAAGGTTGTTTGACCAACTTTGACCAAGTTTGACAGAGGGGCACACACATATCTGCCTGCCTGGGTTTTCTCCGGGTACTCTGGTTTCCTCCCACATTCCATAGACATGCACGGTCGGTTGATTGACCGCTGTAAATTGGCCCTAGATGTGCTTGTGACTGTGAATGGTTGTTTGTTGATGTGTGAAAATAGATAGATAGGTCGTGCAGGAGGTGGGGTACACCCTGAGCTGGTCGCCAGCCAATCACAGGGCAAAAACAGACAAACAACCATTCGTGCTCACAATCACACCAAAGGGCAATTTGGAGCAGGAGTGCCCAACCTTTTTTGACCGAAGATCTGACATGCACGGTCGGTTGATTGACCGCTGTAAATTGGCCCTAGATGTGCTTGTGACTGTGAATGGTTGTTTGTTGATGTGTGAAAATAGATAGATAGGTCGTGCAGGAGGTGGGGTACACCCTGAGCTGGTCGCCAGCCAATCACAGGGCAAAAACAGACAAACAACCATTCGTGCTCACAATCACACCAAAGGGCAATTTGGAGCAGGAGTGCCCAACCTTTTTTGACCGAAGATCTACTTTTCAAGCAGCCACCCTCCATGATTGACCTGTTACCGCACACACGCACGTGCGTGCACTAATGCAGACGTGCATACACACGCATACCATGATGACCAACATAACAGCCCCTAACATGAATGAAACAGAAAAATAAAGTAGATAAAAGAGTTTGTGAAAAGGAAATCACTGTCGACCTTAACAGAGATCTGACGCATGGTGCATAAACATGACTATCGAAGCTCACGTGTAACTTTTTAAAAGGCTTGTCCTGGTGCTCCAGATTGCCATTCTCTGTCAGTGCCCTCGGTGAAATGCTGATGAAACGAACTTTGAATGAGAAGTTTAAAAACAGCATTATCACAGCAGCCCTGATCACAAACTGGAACTGGTGACCGCTCACAACCTCCGGTAATCCAGGTCAGACGCCACCTTAGGTGAAAGGTGACTTGTTTTTTAATTTTATTTTTTAAATACTTTTTTGGTGAACGTGAAATTGATAAGATGCTTAGGGTGCAGTGTACACTAACACAGAAAAATATAATATTAATAACGCACATAGACACACAAATCTTTTTGTTTTTTTCCCCATTTTTCCCGACACCTCTCGCAAATGACTTGGGACAAGTCCGCAGGCCACTGGTTGATCGCAACCGACTGGTTGGGCATATGGGAGGAAACCGGAGTACCCGGGGAAAACCCATGCAGGCACGGGAAGGCCAGGGCTGGGATTGAACCCTGAACTTCCTGTTCTTTATATATATATATATATAGTCCCCTGCCTACTGCCCGAATATGGCTGGGATAGGATCCAGCACCCCCGGCGACCCTTGTGAGGATATATACCTATATATATATATATATACAATTGCATAGAAAAAATACAATTGCATCGAATTGTCTCATTTGAAACTCAGATGAAAATAGTTTTCACTGTGGGGAACTTTTGGCTGCCGATAGGACAACATTCAGGCTGAGCCGCAACACACTGCATGCCACACGTGTACGCACACACACACACCCTCATTCACACGATGATACTGTATCCATTTCGCACATCCCTGGAGGTATTATATATCGTGAAACTGTGTGCAAATGGCAGAAGAGCAAATACTCGTTTTCAATGCAGCTTTCAGACCAAATGTTTTTCCTTTGATTTTTTTTTTTTTTTTTTGGTGAATACATTGCACACCACTGTGACTCGGGCCTTTCAAATAGAATATATTTCAACATGCTTCAAAGATGCATGCAATCATTTTCTGAACTTGCCCAACAATGTCAATAATCAAGTAAAAAATGTGGGAGGAGAAACACTTACCATTGCTCGTATTTTCATTTTACTATTGCTGCTATTGTGGCAAGTACTGTCACCTCTTCACACCACACCTACGCTATGATATCTTAAAACATGCTCTCCCCACTAAATACTTTTCATTCTGGTCTGATTCCATTAAACTTGCTGTTACATGTCAAATTATTTGCGACACAAAGTGATGACAAGGAATGAAATGTGATCAAATCAGACTATAAATCATTTATTTAAAAGTATAACTGGGTATGAACTTAATGTCCCAAAAGGTTTTTCCATTTCCTATAAATTGTTTACAAATACGGTCTTCAATATAAAACAGGCAATATGTATCAGTACTTGTCCGTTTTAATCAAGTTCTCTACGTCTGCTCCTCCGGAAACTTATATTATTATGCTTAAGGCTGGGTCTCCTGTTCCTTAACGCTGTGCCCAAACATGTCCCACTGAGACAAAATGTTGAGAAATTGAGCTTCCTCAAGCTCTTCTAGTGTGTTGCTTGACTGCCAAGCTGAAAACTAGGAACATATCAAAACAGGTTTCACATCAATGTTTGACCTCACCTGTGGTCTCGGAGGTGGTCCTGCCTTCTGAAGGCTTTATGGCAGATATCACAAGTGTACGGCCTCTCATCTGTGTGCGTCCTCTCGTGGATTAACAGATTGTAGGATTTTGTAAAGTGGCGGCCACAGAATTTGCAGACAAATTCTTTTTTGGTCTTTGAGGGCAACCGGCCACGACTGGATTTGCGCTCCGGGTAGGAGAGCTTGGCCACATCCAGGAGGCACCCGAGGCCGGTTGACTCAGAATGGTGAGACGAAGTGGCGGCGGCAGCGGCAGCGGCAGCAGCAACACCTGACATGCTCAGGTCTTCCGCCTTCAGATGATCCTCTTGGGTGGCTGCTGTGGCCAGGTTGGCAAAGTCAAAGCGAGGCTTGTCCTTTGAGCTCTGCATCCGAGCCGCTGAGTCCTGCTTGGGCTGCGGGTGATGAGGGAAGATCGGGATGGAGGCCATCGAAGACAATTGGACAGGTAGTTTTGAGAGAGTGCAGCGAGGCAAGGCCACAGGCAGGTAGCCCGGGGTCCATTGGTGAAGCTGAATGGCATGCAAGGCACTGAAGCTGTAGATGCTGTGCAAGTGGTCCGTTGGCAGCTGAAGGCCTGTGGAGCTCTGGAGAAGGGAATAATTTGCCAGCTGGAGCGATGGGTGGAGAGGGACTGGAGCTGCCAGAGTCTTGCTGCCCATGGCGGAGGCAAGAAATCCAATTAGATGTCTGGAACAAACAGAACGCATTGGCGGATCAATTCAAATTCTTTGAATCATCGCGACTTCATGTGTCAAGAAGAGTCATTCCTTCCTGATGCCATCAAAACAACAACCAAAACCGCTTGCAATAATCGAAATATGATTTATACACGTGGCTCAGGGAAAAAGAACAGACCACTTCAAAATGATCGCTTTCTCTGATCTGTTAGCCACATGTTGCAGTTCGGATTGACAGTCAAGACTGAAATGTTAAACCAAACATTTTCAGGAATTGGCCGTTTAACAGTTTCAATACTTTAAGGCAGGGATGTCAAACTCCTTTTTGTCGCAGGCCACATTGTAGGTTTCCCTGAGAGGGCCATTATGACTGTGAATTTTGGAAAACCGCATAAATGTTTGATCACCTCCACATTTTACATATTCAATGCACAACAAATTGGAGTGGTGTTAGTTTTGAAATCAGAAGTCAAGAATAATGGTTTGTTCAGCCATTGGTTACATTAAGGTAACAAGTAAGAAACAAGGTAATGCTTTCAATATCTCGATGTTATGATAAATTACATATGACAATTTGAAATTTGGACTGCCCGATGGTCAAGTGAGTCAACCTCACAGTACAGAGGTGAGGGTTCGAGTCCGGCTCAGGCCTTCCTGTGTGGAGTTTGCATGTTCTCCCCGGGCCTGCGTGGCTTTTCTCCGGGTAATCCGGTTTCCTCCCACATTCCAAAAACATGCATAGCAGGTTAATGGAACACTGAAAATTGACCCGAGGTGTGAGTGTGAAGAAAACAGCTGGGGGGGGGGCTACATCACCCCCCGCAACCCTTGTGAGGATAAAGCGGATTAGAAAATGGATGGATGGATGGAATTTGAAATTTTGGTTTAACCTTGGGCAAGCATCATGGAAAAGTTGACATGCTTGATTTGCACTCGCAGGCCACACAAAATGATATGGCGGGCCTTGAGTTTGACACCTGTGCTTCAAGGGATTATGTAGTATACTCTGACCAAGTTAAAGTGTCAAAAATGTTATGCCTCCAGCAAATCACGTCCCCCCCCCCCCACTCCCCATGGATAATGTTGTTTAGCAATAACGAGAATAGGATTCAAACAAATCTCAAAATGCTTTTTTGTGTTGTAGAACACCCTGGCCCAATCAAGAATGGTGAGTTGGATTTTGACCCCCCCCCCCCCCCCCCCCCCCCCCAATCTGGCACTTTTACACATCCAGCTTTGATTTTTGATAAACGCTGTTCAAGGAGCAGTCATGATCTGCTTATTAAGACTGCATGTTTCAAGGGCCTGCACCGTTTGTACCACAACGCAGAAACTCTTCAAAGGTGGATCTATCGTAGCTAACAGAACTATTGTCTTGGAAAAAAAAAGATTGGGAAATTTTTAAAAACGAGTTTCCACAGTACTTATCCACGTACATTGCTGGTAGGGAAATCCACAACAGTGAACACTACAAGCTTTATTAAAACGTTTTGCTCATGTGAATTGCTTGAAAATTGCGCAAGAAATAGCTCTGTAACAATGCGCCGTGACAAATGAGAGTGTATGCGTGAGGTAAATGTGTCAAGGAAGGTGAGTGAATCACACTTGGCAGCTTGAAGACACATACATGAATGCGCCAGACAGAAATTGAGAAAAGCGTATATGTGTGTTTGCTGTTGCCAGAAACATGCCTGGAGCTGTTGAAGGTGGTGTAAGAGAATGGCGACATTCATCAAGAGCTTGTGAGCTGTTAAATCAGGTTTTGATAAGCAGGAATAACAAGACAACAATGTGTCTTTGTTGCAGTCAGCCTATGATTGACAGCGAGCAGAGCAGCTCCCCGCTCCATTTGAGCAGCCCTGCGCACTGTGCACACAACTGAAGCTAATGTTCACTCGTTGTAGATGAAATATCTCAACGTCTTCACTTTTCTGAAGTGCTAATAAAACATGTTAGCATCCATCCAGCTGTTTTCTATGGATCTATCCGGGTTGGGGGTCAGAGTGGGGCTGATTTAGGTGAAAGGAGGACGCAGCCAACAGCACGTCAGCTTCATAAAAACGTCACCTACAGTATGTGAACAACTACATTTCCCCCAGGTCTTGGCCAAAGACAAATCAATGAACAACGGACGATAATCTGATTCATGAAAATGTATTCATGTCATAAGCACTGCCGAGTAAAACGACCTCTTGTTCATGAAGAGGCTTACATGCTTTGCTTTCTGCGCTTCCCTCTCTGTTTATTTTGAGCATGTATAAAATAATATAACATTTACTGTATTCGAAAAGTATGATAAAGTAAAAGAATATGTCACCAAAATTTGTAGTTAATTAACAGAAATCATCAAAACAAGCATGACTAATGAATGAGATAAAGAGTAGTAAAAACTAATGAGATCCTCCCACTAATTTCATTATCAATATAGAAGAGTCATATTCAACTGTCTATGCGTACCATAAAATCTATTGTTGTACAACATACAGTACACCAACAGGCAAATTCAACACAATATCTACATTAATATACCAATATATTGTTTTCATATTATAGGATTAACTTTACTTGTACCATTGACCTATTTTTCTGAAATAGACTGTCAATAATAAACATGATAGTTGAAACAACATTTTCCCGTAACAAGAACCTATTTATACAACAATTACACTTAGCAATAATATAACATCATTTGACCTTGAACAGTAAATGATGTTGAGCTCATACAATTAAATAATGGTAAACCCCGGTGATCAACCATGCATTCATTTTCTTATCCGCTTACCCTCACAAGGGTCAGGGGCGTGCTGGAGCTTATCCCAGCTGTGTTCAGACTGTAGGCGGGGGACACCCTGAACCGGTTGCCAACCAATCGCAGAGCGCACATAGACGAACAATTCACGCTCACAATCACACCTAGGGACATTTTTGAGTGTCCCATTAACCTATGCTGCATGTTTTTGGAATGCGGGAGGAAACGGAGAAAACCCACAGTAGGTGGGGGACACCTTGAACCCGTTGCCAGCCAATCGCAGGGCACAGACAGATGAACAACCTTCCGCGCTCACACCCACACCCAGGGACAATTTGGAACATTCAATAAGAATGTGGGAGGAAACCGGAGTACCCGGAGAAAAGCTACGCAGGCTCGGAGAGAACATAAAAACTCCACACAGGAAGGCCAGAGACGGGATTGAACCCACAACCTCTGGGACTGTGAGGTCAAGGCACTAACCACTGGACCACTGGGCCGCCACAGTGAATATATCTTCGTTTAATATTCATGCTTTCATTATCAAGAAGCAAATCGTAGGGGTTGGTCAACATCTCTTGAGTGTGAATCAATATAATTTACATTGGTTTCTTTTTTGCTTCAGCTCACTTTACATAGATAGCATGCAATACTGAGGATAATCACACATTTTTAGAAATACTGTTGGACTACTGAAGTAATGGGTCAACCATCAAGAACAATCTACTTCCGCAAATTTTGTTGGAATAGGTTTACATGAATCACAATCGCATTGTGAAAATAGGAAAATATATCACTGCCTCGTAGAATTTTGTGAACCATCCACTCATGCATATTTTATTGTTAATAGCTCCATGCAAGGTTGAACATGTGCTGTGTACAAAAAAAACCCCTCATAATAATAATAATAATAACAATAATAACCATAATGTCAAAGGCTTCAAGTGCTGGTCAGGCCGCTCATCACTAAAGTGAATGAAGTAGTTGTAATGAGGAGCAGTGAAGCTCAAACAGCCCCCCTGTGGTCTCTTCCTTTCTGATCATGACGCAGAAGTAATTGACTTTTACTCGGGAGGTCATTAGAGGATAGAGGTTGCTCTGCTGCTGAGGCTCTCCTCACCTTTAACCCTTTCATGTCTGCATATCAGGGGCCTCCAGATCCAGAGAGCCATGTGGATCCTCTGCTTAAGCCGAGACTGTTACATTCAGCACCTCTGAGGGACTGTGGGGTGACCGAGACGCTGCTTCTCACCTCCATGTAAATCTGATCAGACTGGCACACTACAACCCCCATGGAAGAGTCTCTTCAAAACCATTTTGGCCTTTCAATCAGACACACACCTGCGTGCATATATTGTGTGTGTGTGTGTGTGTGTGTGTGTGTGTGTGTGTGTGTGTGTGTATATGCACCCTTTTTTTACTAAAGATTTTAAAAATAGATCTTGATATTAGGTGAATAAAAAATACATCATCTATGCGCTTGTGGCTGCTGTAGCTTTTACGTTCTTATTTTGAATATATCTGCACAAATGTTTTTGTTTTTTTAACTTCAGCTCTTCACAGATTATACAACACAATTGTTAAGAAGCAAATTACTTGAGTTTACAGTTCTGTATGAATACTTTCAATCTAAATAGCCGGGAGGAGTTTGAATTTAAAATCAACAGCATGGCAGGTATGTCTGTAAAATTGTGATAGATCACGTAAATTGTACTTGTGAATCATTTCACAAAAATATTTTCAACTTGTCAATTTTGTTTGTATTTTTGACGACTGTTTATTGATGAAAGTAGGTAACATCTTCCGATTTTAACAAGGTCAAAGCTCTTCAGATTTCAAGTTCAGTGTTTTGAAAAGCAAAGTGCCGTGTCACTCTCGTGTGCCTTGAGTGATCAGCAGGTGTGCCACAGGAAATATACCAACTTCACTTCATACGGGCAAAAAATATGATTCATATAACTTTAATATATCTTTGTTCATCTATCGCTGCCAGTGACGCATTGTGACAGGCAAAAGAATTAAATGCTCTTCCATTAACTGGCGGAAAGTACAATAAAGCTGTTGCCATTCAGAATAAGTCACGGCTTCCTGCTAGTATATCAGTCGATTTGTGTTCAATTTAAATGGGCCCAGATTCTGCACTTAGATTACACTGCAACATCATTATTTTAGTATTTATTACTTTTTGTTTGGGAGGGTGCCTTGAAATTTTTCCAATGTGATTGGCTCAATGAAAGTTGGGAAACACAGTTCTACTTCGTCTGTAAAAAAAATTTTCAATTTTAAATGTGATACCCATTCTTTCCCAACCAGCACAACATGAAGCGGCATCAAGCCAAGGAGAACCACCGGTGTCATCAGACCTTTATTAGTCAAGGTGCTGAAAAAAGAGTCAATGCTTTTAACGCCCCACATATTCCTTCCAGACCTCCGATCAAACACACAAGGTCTTTATTGGATTATGCTTCATTACAGTGCCAGCATCATCAATTAGTGAGGTAGAGGGTGCAGCTGCAGTAAGTGTTTCCTTTAAAAGTCATCTTAAGGCTCTTACTCCACCTTTCTCTCTAGCAATGTTTATTCAGACTGGGCTAATTGCACAAGTTATGCTTGTTCATGTTGGCTTCACCAAAGAGGGCTGCTGTCTGGAGGTCATTCAGCGTAAATGAGCCAATTTAGTCCATTTTGTCAAAAAATACCAACTCTGAAAAGTGATTTTTGAGAATTTACTGTGGGAAGTACAGTATAGCGAAAAGACACAATCAATGTCCTCATAAATTCATTTGAACAACGTATCAACCATAATATTGGCAGTTACCCAACTTGTAGACATACACAATTTGCAGCAGTAGACCAATTACGTATGGAATTTAAATAATTCCCGTTGCAAAAAAAAAATCCCACGCAAGCCTTCAACACATTTCATGCACCGTGTGAATTTCATTAATTGTGTCCGAAGCTACATCGCAAAAAGGCACCACGAGTAAGGGCGTGATAGTTTTGTGACCGTCAACTTGCCTTCACGCAAACTCCCGTTGTTGCACTTAGGAGTGTGTTTGTTGGTTTACAAATAAAAGAGAGGACTTACCGAACAACAAAAAAAAAACCAAAATGAAAGATCCCCCTCTTCGCCGCGGAGGTCCTGCCGTGGGTGGGAAGCGTTAGTGGCAACCTGAAGATGAAGCGCGATTGTTGACGTGAGTTTTAATGAAACCACAGCATGTTTCCTCCACTCAGTTCGCCGCAAGATGCGTCTGAGCCGACAAGGCACGGCGGTGTGTGCTGGTGCAGCTTTGCTTCTCCCAGTTCGCTGACTGTCCCGCGTCTCTTTATTGCGCAGAGCGAAGCTCCGACTGGCGCGTCACTCAGCCAACCCACATCCAATACAAGCCGTTGGGGATACATAAAGATTACGCAGACCAGAGCTGCGCTGTTCTGTGAGGGACTCGACGTGAGCCACAACTGACAAGGCTTGCGTAAGCAGCCAAGACGATTTCTATACTTACCAAAAGTGTTTCACGGTTGGCCAACTTGACTGACCAACGTGGAGCCCTGACCAATACCCATTAAAACATTTGGAATGGACAATACTAAAAATAGTGAAACAGACACTCGTCTCCAACGCCTACGACATCGCAAATAGATTAAAAAAAATACAATCTGGGTTCATTTTATTAAGTTTGAAAAAAAGTGTGAAAAGAAAAACGTGCACTTGAGTTGCTGTTCTCACACTGTTATATCCTTCGACGGTGTCCGGCTGCAGATTTAGTAATCAAAGCTCAGCATTTGGACAAGTTGACTCTTCCCCTGTGATGGGAAAGTCTGCGCATCTGTGCTCTCTACATACTGAAATGAAATACAATAGCACAGAGAATGCCGAGCAGATTTTTTTTTCTTCACATACATGAGCTCTTCATGCTCTAAAGCAGAGGTGTCAAACATACGGCCCGCGGGCCGGATCCGGCCCGCAAAGGAGTTTAATCCGGCCCGCGAGATGATTATGTAAAGCAGGGGTGTCAAACATACGACCCGCGGGCCGGAACCGGCCCACAAGTAGGTTCAATCAGGCCCGCAGGATAATGTAAAAGTGAAAAAAATGCATTATAGACACAGAATTAATATTTTTAATCAGGTGCAATTCATTGAGTATCCGCAAGGGGACACTGTTTTGATCAGAGAAGAAGACAACAGCAGCCTCAGTCTGTCACTGAGACAGACCCATGACAGCAGACGCTATCAATAGCACTCTCACATTTACACATTTAATAGCACTCTCCTTAGTTTGTAAGGTGTAGGCAGGGATTACATTTAGATTTTATATGCACGTGTAAATGCTTTAAAACTTGCTTTCTTTATGAATCTTGTTTAATCTTAAAGTGCATTACTATATTTTTCAATACCAATTACTTGTTAAAGTTTGTACAATCAGTGGGATCAGTTGCAATGCATATATGTGAATGATAAAAGTAAATTGCACATTTGTCGAAGGAAATGTAAGGTGCTTCATGAAATGTTTTGTAAAAGATATGTTCATTAAATTTCAACATTTTCCTAATGTTCTTGTGCTTCTTTATACCAAAACAAAGGAAAGACATATTGTTTTGGTTATTTATAGCAAAGTATTGTATCATTTTAATGGTCCGGCCCACTTGACATCTACCGAGGCCGTATGTGGCCCACCATGTGAAATGAGTTTGACACCCCTGCTCTAAAGTGTACCAGGACTTGGCTCTGTACAGCATTCCTTGATTCCTTGACATGCGGGGGTTGGGAAGTAAATCTATGATATTTAAAGCACACATGAGGTGATGCGACTGCCTACAGATGGCGGTGCTAACTTAACCACAGTATTGTCATATCAATTGTTTTAAGACTGATTTAATTTGATTTGACTTTTTATTAGGTCTCCCATCGGAGAAACTTGTCTCGGAGGACAGTCCCTCTGTGCTGCCTGCTACATACATTGAGCAAAAAACATACACATACACAGCACAACATAATTAGGACAATTACATACAAGACAGTATACACTCTATACACATTGGACACTACATTACAGTATATGCACCCTCACCCCCACCACACCGACACCAAATTAAATTAGGCCTACCAGAGAGATGTTACTTTTGTCATATTTTTTCACTTAATTTTTAGACCATACATAATGTGTCCGACTTTTGCCATAGTTTTTTAATTTATTTCATACATTTAATTATTACGTCATATATGTATGATTCTAGCCATCTATACGCGCGCAGGCACGCACACACACACTCACACACACTTTCAAGGTAGGCCCAACATTAGCAGCACGTGAGCTACTGTGAATACAATCTGCCACCTGCTGGAGAACTCTCGCCCGTCAAATAAATTGCTTCACTGAAGGCTTCCCAAATTGTAATTACCAAGGGACGCGTGACGCTTCAGCAATCCAGGTTGACTGACCAATTCAGTCGAATCACGAGTAGATGATGACACATTACTGTTAGGTTTTTGTTTAGATGGCATTTGATTTTGTTCCATCATCATACCTGTCAACTTTTCGGAGCGCCAACCTGTATAAACTACCAAAAAAATCCTTATAAAGAGCAAAAAATCCTTATAACATACCAAAGCATTTTATATGTCAAAGTAACGGCAGAAAAAAACCCACGAAATATGAATGATATATTTGTTTCCTTGTAGAACTTGCTTGTACACTACCGAAGTATGCAATGAATACTCTGCTGTTTTCCACTAGGAACCACGTGATTTACTGGAAAGTTACCGGAAATGAAAGCATTCGAGTAGACTAGCACCATTCTGGGCAAAAGCAAACGGAACTACCTGTTAGGGGGGGGAGAAAAAAACGGAAATTTTCAGAATCCGTATGATTTGTGCGATATGGCCATATACGTAAGATTCACCACAAAATCCGTATGAACTATGGCTAAACCGTATGAGTTGACAGGTATGCATCATGTGCCCTTTTTGTCTCCACCTGTTTTCGTCATGCAGGTCTCTTGTGTTTGACCAATCAGATCGCTCAAGCCTTTGTGTTTTGTCAAGGTGTTTCTCGTTGTCTCGTCACTTTGCTTGTATTTCGTCCTGTCATGTTTTTCTCGTTGTATGTTTTTTTTGCTACTTTGGTTTCTTGTGATTTTCAGGACTTTGTTCGAGTATTTGAGTTAGGTAGTACAGTGTACCCTTCTAGTGCTTTTTTTTTTTTAAGACATTTTGTTCAGTTCACCCTACTCCTCCTGCCTCCCTGCTTTTTGGTGTCATCTAACCTACCACCTCGCAAACCGTGACAATTACAGCTGTATTGGTAACTTTGATCTTTCTCACAGGTACCCCACCAATGGAGAATAAATACAAGTTGTATAAGGACTTATTGTGAAATACTGTTTCTTTAAGGCTCTACAAGGGAAATGGCTAGGTATGTCCATTGGCTTGAATTTAAGTAGATGATTTTTTTTAGGGGGGGGGGGGTTACTGCGCCTTTAATGTTAAATTAGATTTAATACTCTAAAATCTTTTTTTTTTTTAATCTATTAAGTGCAGCATAGGTTCGCTCTAATGGAAAGCACAATGTTGCACGCGTTGGATAAAAGCTGTTTACCAAATTAAAATTCGGATCATATATGTGTGTTTGCTTCGACTGACATCTGCTGTCATTGGTGAGGAGGATGACTCCTCGATTGAAAGACACGTCAAAGTCTTGCAGGTGCAGGATGGGAAAATGCAACCCGACACCACAGTTGTCAAAGACCACACGGCACCAAAGTTTGCGTGGTGCCGACAAGTGACGGCGGATGGAATGAGTGCGGCAGTCGAAGAAATATCCTTTCCAGTGAACACCCACAGATGTCAGAGAACTGAGCAATAATTTGAATTTGGGGATGTACAATCTGCATTTTTTTCCAACCTGTTTCTCAAGGGTAATGACCACGATGTAAATCAGTCTCATCATTTCTCATGTTTTGGTACTTTCAAGGAGCACCAGGTGGCCATTCATTTTTGGCAAAATATTCACATATACGAATAGTAATCAATAAAACAGGACATCTGACACAGAAATAAAACACATCCTCAATCACTGGAAGACAGATGCAAAAATATAAAAGCTATATTTTATAAGATTTGGGTGACCAACCTTTTTGAAACTGTGAGCTACTTATTGCCCAATGATCAATGCAAAGGGCTACCAGTTTGATGCACGCATCGGAAATAACGATGAAAATGTTTCTTTTTTAAAAAGAGTCCCGCGGACTTCTCATGTTGCACTGTCTACGGGCAACATGGTGGTGATACGTGTGTGTGTGTGTGTGTGTGTGTGTGTGTACATATATATATATATATATATATGTACAGACTGGTATTTATACACACCTTGAGGTTTGTGAGACGAAATTAAAAATCTGTAGCTCAATAAAATACATTGAACACAAAATCAACAGCAAATCAATGATTTTGAAGGTGTTCTGATCTGGTCCCAAAAAGCTTCACTCGTCTGGACGCACAGGTGTTAATGTGGTCCAACGCGCTACCTGTGCATGGGAAGTAGAAGTCAGAAGCAAATGGTCAGAACCACGCAGTGTCAGGCCATAAAGATATTACAGGTTCTAGACCAGAACAAATTTAAAATTAAACATGATTAAATCGGTCCAATTTTGTTTTAAAAAAAAAAAGGAAAAAAAACAACGGTGTCTCCAGGATGAACAGTCATCAAGACTGGTCGTGGACTATCATGGTAAACTCTGCTTAAGCCACATAAGATAGCAAGCAATGCATTGGCTGGCTAATGAGTGCAGCTTAACCTGTGAAAGAGTGCCTCCTAAGTCAGTCATGATATCCATCCATCCATTTTCTGATCCGCTTTATCCTCACGAGGGTCGCAGGAGTGCTGGATCTTATCCCAGATGTCTTCAGGCAGTAGGCGGGGTCCAGCCTGAACTGGTTGCACGCATAGATGAACATTCACACTCACATTCACACCTCGGGACAATTTCGAGTGTTCCCTTAATCTGCCATGCATGCTTTTGGAATGTGGGAGAAAAAGGGAGTACCTGGAGAAAACTCACAAAGGCATGGGGAGAATATACAAACGCTACACAGGAAGGCCGGAGGCAGAATCAAACGCTCCACCTATGCACTGTGAGGTCGACGTGCTAACCAGTTGACCACCATGTCACTGACGCTGCCGCGCTCTCTCTCTCTCTCTCTCTCTCTCTCTCTCTCTCTCTCTCTCTCTCTCTCTATATATATATATATATATATATATATATATATATATATATATATAAATGTGTACAATGCATGTGTGTATTAGTCTGGATGATGAGCCACTCACACAGTGCCAGGTAGTTTTGAATAGTTTTTTTTTCCTCCTTCATAAATA